AACAACAAATATCATGTGTTCATTTCCTATCAAAAAAAAAAAAAAAAAAGAAACTTATGGGATACTCTACATTATTTGCTTTAATTTACAGGATTTTGACATCGATAATACCAATGTCAGTAATGTGATCTCTTTCTTCTATTTTTTTCATTTCAATTTGCAATTTGTTCATGAATCATGAATTTGATTATCATTCGAAGTGATATAATTAAATAATCAATTCTAAGATAAAGTAATATCGAATTTGTTACGCGAGAATATCGAGAGCTCGAAGTTTATTTATTATCTTATAATTACTTAAAATTTTTCATTAGGGACAATTTGAACTGATAATATAATGGGGATATAAACGGAAATAGAGATTTAATTTAAAAACTTAAATTGCTTTTAATTTAATTTAATAGATTAGTCAATAATATTTATTAATTTTTGTGTTTGTATTGACTTCTAGAATCTTCTAAGTTTCACAAATATATTAATGAATAAATAATCAAAAGGAGAAGAGAACGGGAAAGCGTTCTGTTCTTCTTCATTATAAAAATCTTATTTGAAAGAAATGTATTATATATTGATCATATAATAAATTTATTATGGCGAATATTATAATTTTTTTCTTATTCATAAACTATAATAATATATTATTATGTAAATATAGTATATATTACAGTAAATAGTACAGTAAATATAAAATGTAAAAAATAATCATAAATTATGATTTTAGTGATAAAAATTAATCTCCCAAGAATCTTTGGACCGCAAGCTTCATCGTACTAACAATGGACTTAATTGTACTAATAGAATCAAATATGTTATTATAGTACTAAAAATCTGAAAGAAAGATTAAATCCTTAAGTAATTAATCCGATTATACATTCGTTTAACTTACCATTGTTGATAACCTGTTATTAAGTATATAATCACCAGCAGTAAATTTTAAAGGATGAAGAAAGAGTTGTAACGAAAATTGTAGTACCTGAAATTATTGTTGTCATTAATTTTTATTTTTTAAATATTTTTAATTTTAAATTCTAAACTATAAATTATTTGTATTTGATTTTTTCGATATAAAATATTCTTTGAAAAAGTCTATAAGAATTCGTATAGATACTATTCGCTGATATTATAAATAAAATCAGAATATAGAAACAAAGTAATTTGTGCGCTATTATTATCATTATATATATATAATATAGAGAAATTCTTTTGATAAAAAGATAAAATCTTTTTATCTTTTGATAA